GGTGGATTCTGAAGGGGCATATTCCGAAGATAGTCCACTTCTGAAGGGTATCAACAGTCACCCAAACCCAGTAAGACCTTCCGAAGGACAACCAGTCACTTGACAATGAGACCAATTTGCTGCCTCCCCGGATACCCCGGAGTGGCTTTCCAAAAATATAGGTTTTGACTCGACCATGAATGGTAGGTCAGAAGCCCGTAGTACCTTTTGATACTGGGTGTAAACCAAAGCTACCATGCTGATGCATTGCCCAGTCTCCCCGAGCGCCGTATAACCGACGGCCGCCACTGCTCGATTAAGACACGATTTGCAATCGAAGGGGAAAATCTGGCCCTTCCTATTGATTCTGATGTCATTTAGATTCCATCAAAGCCGTCGCTAAGCCCTTCTCATGGTGGATTCTGAAGGGGCATATTCCAAAGAGAATGCACTTCTGAAGGGTATCAACAGTCACCCAAAGCCAAGTAAGACCTCCCGAGGGCAACCAACCACTTGACAATGAGACCAATTTGCTGCCTCCCCGGATACCCCGGAGTGGCTTTCCAAAAATATAGGTTTTGACTCGACCATGAATGGTAGGTCAGAAGCCCGTAGTACCTTTTGATACTGGGTGTAAACCAAAGCTACCATGCTGATGCATTGCCCAGTCTCCCCGAGCGCCGTATAACCGACGGCCGCCACTGCTCGATTAAGACACGATTTGCAATCGAAGGGGGAAAATCTGGCCCTTCCTATTTATTCTGATGTCAAAAACCGTCGCTAAGCCCTTCTCATGGTGGATTCTGAAGGGGCATATTCCGAAGAGAATGCACTTCTGAAGGGTATCAACAGTCACCCAAACCAAGTAAGACCTCCCAAGTAAGACCTCCCGAAGGGCAACCAATCACTTGACAATGAGACCAATTTGCTGCCTCCCCGGATACCCCGGAGTGGCTTTCCAAAAATATAGGTTTTGACTCGACCATGAATGGTAGGTCAGAAGCCCGTAGTACCTTTTGATACTGGGTGTAAACCAAAGCTACCATGCTGATGCATTGCCCAGTCTCCCCGAGCGCCGTATAACCGACGGCCGCCACTGCTCGATTAAGACACGATTTGCAATCGAAGGGGAAAATCTGGCCCTTCCTATTGATTCTGATGTCATTTAGATTCCATCAAAGCCGTCGCTAAGCCCTTCTCATGGTGGAGGGGCATATTCCAAAGAGAATGCACTTCTGAAGGGTATCAACAGTCACCCAAACCAAGTAAGACCTCCCAAGTAAGACCTCCCGAAGGGCAACCAATCACTTGACAATGAGACCAATTTGCTGCCTCCCCGGATACCCCGGAGTGGCTTTCCAAAAATATAGGTTTTGACTCGACCATGAATGGTAGGTCAGAAGCCCGTAGTACCTTTTGATACTGGGTGTAAACCAAAGCTACCATGCTGATGCATTGCCCAGTCTCCCCGAGCGCCGTATAACCGACGGCCGCCACTGCTCGATTAAGACACGATTTGCAATCGAAGGGGAAAATCTGGCCCTTCACAATGATTCTGATGTCATTTAGATTCCATTGAGGCCATCGCGATGCGACGGTATTTTCCCTACGAACTGTTCCTCTTGTGAGTGCTGATATGGACGTGTGAATCAGCACATATACGCTTATCGCCCCTAGATTAAAGCGCTGCACAGTCTCGATTTATCAGAGCAGGACAAGAAAATATTCGAGGGTCCGGGCTTCTTCAAGACGGTGCCTCTTCATGAGCGAAATCCTCTTCGCACAGTAATGGGAAATGGTGCCACTTGATCATGAGGATTATGATTGTTTTTGTCCCTTTTAGTTTCATCTTCGCGTTGCGTAGCAGTACCCGCAAGTTAGCGCGGTTTGAAACCCAAATGTTTGTCCTTTGCAAATGTTTTGTGTAATTTGGCCTCACCCTCCTTCTATCAAAAAAATTTATATTTAGAATTACGGACCGTCAACGTGTGAAGCCATCTGTGTTCTCACTAGTTTGGAGTGCGTGGCTTGGAAAGAGGCGATAATCGGCATAGGAACAGGGTGGTTCGGGCTACTCATCAGTTCTCAGAGTTAGATTGAGTTATTTTCCCGGAAATATGTTCCTGCACACCGAGCAGAGGGAGTTCTTGTGAACTACCAGAAGCGGTAACTTAAACATGTCTACGGCCTTCCCTTTGAGGCCGGATTACTCTCAGAGGACATCCTCTACTAAATATGGTCATAGGCAATGATCCTATCAGCGCACGACGAACATTTCTGTGAGATGCACCACTCCGTCGGCCTGCAGTTGGATTCGGTGTGACACAAGAAAGCTCCGCTCCCATCCCCTACCCTCCTCAACCCTATTACTGCTCTTAAGCTCACTAGAAGCAGCACCTAGGAGCTTCTCTTCTCCCCCTGTACAAGAACAACCCCGTCGGAAGTTACTTGACAGGCTCTTGACACTGATCCAGGTGGTTCGAGCCGTCGAACACCAGAACAGTTGTTCTCGATTTTCTCCCCTTTTAGGCATTGTTCGCACTGCGCGACATTGGCGAATATTGGGCATTCGTGGAAAGAAGGGTTCCAGTTACCAGGCGAATTCGGCGCTGATCAGACGATTGACTATCCAGCGATTTTGCTGACTCCGCCCGAGTGAAAAATGGGAAAGTGTTCGAAACAGCAGCTGTGTCCACTCGCTTCGCCAGTTCTCCCGATCGATACCTATGTAACCCTTTGCGAGGGCAGCAGATTCCCCCGCACGGTTTGCTACCTCTCTCGCTTCGAATGAGCTCCCTTCGACGATTCCACACGGTCGCGGTTTGTGAACAATGCCTTGGACATTCATTCGCATCCACCAGATACCCATATGGGTGGAATCGTGCAGTACCCCGAAATATTGACCCCGATAATAAACCAAAGTATACCTTTTGTCGAAGAGGCGTCAGGTCACATTGCTGCGCAAACTACAATCGCGCTACCATTTACACATTGAGTAGGCTGCGCTGTGACGTACACACCCGGAGATTGGGAGCCGCGTACGTCGTCTGAACGTGCAGCCGCTGCGCTTTTTTGGAATATAGCATATATATTTTTTGGAATATATCTGGAATATAGAATATATGGAATATTTTTGGTCAATTTCGACCATGTATTTGTCCAGCAAAAGAACATGAATGCCTTCATACTTTGCCGCGGCGTCCATCAGCGAGCACCAGCTTCCACCGCGGCCATCAGCGTTTCGAGCGTCCGTCAGCGTCAGCGACTGGGAAAGTGTATGTATCGATCTAGCGAACGGCAGCGTCTACCAGCGACCATGAATAGATAGTATGGGAAGAAGGAGGGCACCAGACTGGTGGTAGTGTGGGGAAGTAAGGACGGAGCAGTGAGCTGGACAGCTTAGGCGCCGTGACATTGTGGCATGCAACGGACTCCTCTTGGACGCTGGTGGTCGCGAGTGGACGCTGATATACGGTGGTGAGGGCTGGTAGACGCTGCTGTTCGCTAGATCGTTGTCAATACTTTTCCAGTCGCTGACGCTAATGGTCGCTCGTGGACGCTGCCGCAAAGTATGAACGCATCCTATGCAGATGACGCTTGTCTCGATAGACGTATTCTGAAGGACGCATCCCACACCAGGTACGAAGATGGACTTCTCAACCTTGGAATATAGAGTGTTTACGGTCTTGTTCACTTGCGAACTGATGGGGCGTGTCAGTGAGGCCGAGTATGGCGCGCAACGATTGATACGAACGACATGATACAGTCTGGTCTCTTCCCGAAAGAGAAAGATAAATAGGGAGAGAACGTGCTGGCGCCTTCCAAATCCACCCTCCCCTCCTGATACGCCCCATCATCCGCACTGAACAAGACTGTATTCATTGCATTGAGCTTCAAAATTACAACAAAATCGCTTCACCTTTATTCGAGTACGAATAAGGTCATCCATGTGGAATAGTAAGAAACGAATTTTGAGAAGTTTTTGCATGTCGCACATTTCCATACAATAAAAACGAATACTATGTGTATTCTGCGATAATGGGCGTTACTGTACATTAAATGGCTCAGAAGAATTTATACTTCTTCACCCATTGAAGAACATTAAATTATAGGTAACGATGCATCAGGAGAGGGTGATACTTCGTCTGGAAATAGTCCAAAATATAACAACTAAATAGTTCCTCAAATGCTTGGAGCAAACCTAATATACCAGGGTAAGAAACCGTATATTACAGTACATGCGGCCGTACAACTACAAATTCCATACATTCCGCGCCAGTCGCATTGGCGGTGTACATGTGCGCCTTCTTTCCTCGCTGACTCTCCATTTCTAGACACTAATAAAACTCATTCTAGAAATGAACAAGGAAGAAATGTATACGCAAATGAATGAAAAGCGGCCAGTGGTTCGAGCTAACTCCACCCCATGCAATGTGCGTGTAATCTTTGAGTGCTTGGATTGTCCGAAATTCTACCAAAAAGGTGATAGCGTAATTTCCAACAACCCTTCACTGCTTCTGTAGCATCACAGCCGGCGTCATTTTAGCCTCAAGACTCTCGTCCTTGTATGTGGCTCCAAAGATGGTTACTCCTGCTACCAATGCTGTAACGGTAAAGAACTGAGCCAAAATTCTGTATCGCATGTACTTTTGTGCGCCCATTTTGTCGCCTTTGAAGGAAGACCTGAAAGCGGGAAAATTGAGTCAACAGAGGGCTAGAAAGGGAATAGAGACTTACCTGAACATGCCAAGTAAGGCGAGAGTGGTGAGACCCATACCCAGGACAACTCCTGGATTGCTGGTCACTTGGGAGAGAACACCGTTTTTCTTCTTACCTCCGATGTCTTTTCCACCGCTGAAGCCAATGTCGGTGGGGATGGCAGGGATCTAAAAATGAAAAGTTCAAAGAATTCATCTACTTTGAGAATTCATCTACAGCAAAGAACAGCGATCCCTAGCGCTCATTACTATTCCGACGAGCGCTTAAAAGTTGGTCTGCCTAAATTCTCAATGAAACATTTGAAGTACACTGAATTAAATCACTTTTTTTGAAATCTAGGGATTGAAACTTTGCAATCCTCACACCAAGCTGGGGGTCGCCATTTCTCTTAGGGGCAGTAGCCTCCAGCTCCCATCAGAAAGCCTCATTGGACTTGTATCTACAGTCAAGGGCGATCCGCCGCTCAACATCAGGGACATCATCGCGGTGTGGAAAATATTTGCCAAATGCGTCCTACTTCTCCAAGAAATCTCTATTGGGCGACTCTCCTCCCACAACCACCTACCAAATCTTCCTAGAAATCTTACCAAACTGTTCCAGTAATTACCAAATTGTTCCAGATACCTTTATCAAATTTTACAAAAATTGTACCGTCAAACTAGTACAGGTCATTAGTATGCCTAGAACATACCACCCTTTCGCTGCGATTCTACAACGGATGATGCGCACTCGCCCAACTATCATTCGATTCTAAGCTGGCAGAACATCCTGCCTCTTCGGCGGGTCGGAATACCTTTCAAAAGGCGGCTTGGCGGCGTTTAAGACTCGTTGAATCGGCATTGGCGCTCCAGTCCTATAGACAGTAACGTCGCCGTAGATGGGTATCGATCGAGCGTTTTGTCTTGTTTTCTCGAGAGATCATGGGGTACTAGGAGAGTAGGCATTGCCTAAACACATATTCTGGTATCGATCGACGCCGGCCGCTGGTGTTTTCGGAGAATACGGAAGAAAAGCAAGGTGGCGAACTACACTCCTTATCCCTACACGGACTCGTTTCCAAGTTCTTGGGAGGGCGACATTTAGGAGCTCTCATCGTCCGTGCATCTTACAAGGGAGGTCGTTCAGGGCGTGCCCCGCTTTTTCGAAACGGTTTATTGCACTTTGTAGGGCCTTGCCCATGAACCATAAAAGTGGGCTTCGTTTTTGGCTGTGCGGCTCCAGGAACGCCAAAAAAGGAGCGAAAGGTACGTCTATGTACCCCCATATGAGGGACGTTAAGCGCTATACTGGCGCCAAATTGCGTCGACGTCGAAAATAAGTGTCAAAATCGTAATCAGGACCATCGACTTACCCTTATGGACGAACTTCCAGCCAAAAAAAGTTTTTCGATTTTTTGGGTTTTGGTGGACCATTTGGTCGGCAGTGGTGACCGGAGTATCCCATCTTCGTAAAGACGATGATGGAACGACGACGACGTAGCAGACCGTCGGGCAGGACAGCAAACCGAATGCCTCCCTTTTCTTCCTCTTTGCATGAATTTCATCGGCATTGTTACTTTTATCTTTGGATATTAATAAAATAGGGGTCCCTATGGCGAGGCACTGTAGACTTCTATAGAAAGACTGTCGGGCACAACCCAACGCACACACCCAAAAAAGTCGAAAAAAATTTTTTTGGCTGAAAGATTGTTTACAGGGGTAATCGATGGCCCCGATCATGATTTTCACACTTATTTTCGGCGCCGACGTAATTTGGCGCCTGGGTAGCGCTACACATCCCTTACTTTTGTATAGCAAACGCATTCATTGGGAGAAACAAGTCACTCCATATTAGCGATAAATGGCACAGGCCGCTAGGTCGCGAGCCATAAAATAGTCCCATATTGCGTGATTTCGGGCAATGGTCTGACCTTATAAAGGTCAACTTTTCACAATAACGGTTTTTGCCTTAATGGTTATGTAAAAACCGTAATTAATAATTGAATAGCACTGATTCATGGAGTGTTCCATTTGAAATGTGCCCATAAATGGCAGTTATCGAACGCATACTCACGCACAGACATATTTGAACGCGAAAACAGCAAAACATAAAAAATGCAAAAACTCGCACGCCGAGGGGAGTCGAACCATCAACCCCACCCCAACTGTCCGCTTGAGGATCCTCCACACTATCCACTAGGCCATCCGATCGTTGTTGCCCAGATGTTCCTCCGATCGTTGAAGAAACCATTCCATGAAGCCGTTCACGCTTGATTACGTGCCACAAGTAAGACCCCATACCCCGACTACTTTTCTCTTCGATTCCGATAGTACCTTTATAGGGTCCCTCCATTCAGCAACTGGTCAAAGTTTCAAGCGGTTTACAGCTCGTAGAGGCTCAAAAACAATCAGTTTCCATAGGTTTCTTTTTCGCTCCTTTTTTGGCGTTCCTGGAGCCGCTCGCAGAGCAACAAACTGAAGGCCCACTTTTATGGTTCCATTGGGCAAGGCCCTAACAAAGTGGCAAATAAACGCGTTTCGAAAAAGGAGCGGCACGGCCCTGAAGCGACCTTCTGGTAAGGGACAAAGTAGGGGTGGACTTGAGTCAATTCGGCAGGCAGATGGTTACTCGTGGGATGATCCAGTTCGAGTCAACTGTCATCTTGTTCTGTATTGGACAGAGACACGACCACAATTATGTCAAAAAGGAAAATAGCTCTCCAGAAGCACAACCACTGTCACGTTTAGTTGAAGTAGGCGGCCACGCCTACCCCATCTTAGGGATTTCGAGTGTACGTAATGGCAGCGCACACCCCCTGTTATCTGATACCCTCTCAAAACGCTTGTGGCCGGCTCTAATGGATTTCCGTCTGCTGCTGCGTTTGCATCTACAGTACTCGACGCTTACCCCTTAGCGCGCCTTACAGCGCTTGCGAAGTCTGAACGCTGCTCAAGACTGGTGGTACTGAGGTGGTCAGGAGCCGACGGTATAGTGCGCTAATGTGAGAAAGGAGAAATGAGAAGCCGGACTCCGCCAGAGCTTTTGAGGAAATCCTTTGCAGTACATGGCGGGTTTTTGCAATAAGGAGCTGACGAACAATCATTATCCAAAACTTACTCCACTGTATCGTCCTCTGGTATCCATAATTCGCTTAACTTGGTCAGGAGTCAAGTGCTCGTTGTGGGCATTCTGTGGTCCCTAGAAGAGAGTATCTCTGAAAGGACCAAAAATGATCTAGGAATTGTGTAGTACCTGGTTCTCTTCACGGATTCCTGCAGCGCTCATGAAGACCTTTCGGAAAATGCCCATCTTGAAATTGAAGGTGCTTGAAGGTTGAAGTGTTTGCTGAAAGAAAGTTAAAAGTAGAAAAAAATAGAAAACGAAAATGAAGATAAAACACTTCAAGGAATGCATCAGATAGTAAGCGGGGCATAAACCCTCGGGAAACAATGGCAATAGTTCGAAAGGAGCTCCGATTTTATACTTGAGAATATGTACACAGTAGAACACACATCGTCATCACTGTACCAATCGATTACACACGAGAAGAAAATCGATAAAATCGATAGTGCTCTTAGCGGATTCTAAGATACAAATTTCTTCGTGCGAACAATTGTCAGAATAATGACAAAGAAATGTGCAATACAGAGATGGCGAGAAGCGTTACAAACCCAGAAGATCGTACCTATGAAAAGAGCCGTGGTAGGTCATATTATACAGTATGTACGAGGGGAGAGGGAAGGGGATGGGAGGGGGGGGGGCAAAAAAACACATGCTGCTCATAGCGCCCACCAACGCCGGTGTCTGGACAGCGTAAATTTGCTGTTGGGCGCCATGTTCAAGCATGTCCGGCCGCATTTTTTGCCCCTCCTGTGAAGAATTTCAAGATGTAAAGATTATTAAAGTAGAGACAGCTTTGTACCAGTTACGTGAACCAGTTCTTAGAAACAGGTGACAACAGATCACTTTTGTGTCACGACGACTCCAGCCTCACGATCGCGGAAAACTCTCTTGACATTATTGTAGTGGGAAAGGTAGAACAGAGCGAAAAACCACGCCACACCAGCAGATATGAAGAGAATTCGCATACGATCGTGCATACGATTAAGCGTTCCAGTTCTGAAATATTGCCCAGAACATTAGCTCGTCTTCGGATTGCAGTGGCAAGTGGCGCCACCTTCTATTCTTCTATCTGAGGAGTCGCATTTGAATGCTGGTGAGTAGGGGATTTAGTCTAAGGAAAAGGGTTCAAAAAAGGATATTCGGAGGAAAAACGTTAGCGATTTCAACTGTTAAGGAGTTTTCCTTGAACGAACTCTACTGATAATTCACCCAGATTTTCTACTGTTTTGAGGCCGTAAACACCCATGACCGACCTTTTTCTCGGTTTTCTTGTTTATCCAGGGCTGATGGGACACGGCTTCTAGGCTTTAGTGATGGTTGTACGAAGGCAGCAATAGAGGGAGTTGCAGTAAACGAATGTTTTTATCGCTTTAATGGGTCCCAATCATTTTGTGACAGGGTTCACCTAAGCCCTGAATTGAACCCCGC